GGCGCATGTCCACGGGACCAGGCTGGCTCCCAAGGCACAGGGTGGATGATGTCAGGGAGGGTCGGGACTGGGCACGATCCTCGTCCCAGGAGGGAAATGACCGGACTGGACAGTCAGTAGTGGGGAATGCGAGCTCAAGGCTGCCACCCGAGGTCAGTGCCTTCTCCCAGACAGCAAATGCGGGCAACTCTGACATTGTTTCAAGCCACCTTGCAGTCTGACCAGAGACATCTGCACCCCACATTCTGCCCATGGTAGTCGCACAGTGAGTTCTTACTGACATGCACCTCTGCCTGTCCCTGAGGAGGTGGCCACTTCCGGGGGTGTGTGTCTCAGGGGCTGCCTCTTTCTCTCAGGACCAATCTCCTGAGCTCTATAGTCCCTTCCTCAAATCTGGCTGCCACCTCTCCGGACTGCCCTGGGAAGCCCTGTGCCTTGAATGCCTGTCCACATTTCCACCTTGCCAATAGTAGTGGGCCATGTCATGCAGCTGTCACTGCCTCAGAGACAGGTAGGGCACTAAGAAAGGCAGCAGGCACTCCAGGTCCTATCTGACCTGGGGTGGGTGCTCCCTGTCTGTCTCCCCGGCTCCCTGACCTCTGGATGCTGGCATCCCCTATTCTATTTCAACATGCACTGGCTGCTGGGAGGGGCCAGGTGAGTGGGTGTAGATATTCAAGTGTGGGACATGGCTGAGGTACACAGAGACTCCTGGGGACATCGGACATGGCCACTGCCTGGTGCTTGGCACCCACCTGGGCAGCAGGCGTGGACAGCTGGGTGCTGAGGAGCTGACATTTCGGCACAGCCTGTCAAGTCACTGAGGATGGCACGTGTGAGCAGGGTGGGGACGCTATGCAGAAGTGGGGAGGCATCAAGGTGCTAGGGGCTGGGCAGGTGACCTCCGAGACGAGGGGGTGGGGAGCAGCCGGCCCCCAGCAGCCTTCGCGGAGGATGCTGACTGCATGCGCGCGCGTGCTTGTGTTCCCGTGTGCGCGCAGAGGCTAAAGGCTGCACCAGAACAAAGAGCTGGGGGCTGGGCACCAAGGGCCCCACGTGGAACCGATTGCTAGCAAGGCTCGGTGCAGCGTCTGGCTGCACTCTGCTCCGGACCACCCGGCTCCCTCGCGTGCACACACTCGCGGCACACGCGGCGCCGCCCCGTGATGCCCAGCCCGGATCTGTAAGCGCACTGCTACCAAAGCTCTCACTGTCGTGGCTCGCAGCCAGCTCGCCTGACAAAGCACCTCTCCGCCCCCATGATCTCATCCGCGCTCCTGGCCCCAGCCCACAGCGACAGACAAGGAGGGGGAGGGGAGGGAGAGGAGAGGGACACCCACGTGCACACAGGCGCACCGCACGGCATGCAGGATCACAGCGGCCTGGCCTCGCACGCACACACACACACGGCCCGAGCACAGCCACACACACGCCCCAGGCCCACACCCCAAAGCTTCACATCCCAAAGCCCACATCCCACACACAGCCAACATGCCACACCGCCAGTCACACATACCCAAGCCAAGCCATGAACCCAGACAGTTGTGCAGGCATAGGCACGTAAATAACTGAGACCCCCCCCAGCCACGCACCCTAGCTCCATGCACATACAGACACGCCCACACACACACACACCACAGCCAGATAATCCAGGAATACACACACAGATGGCCACACACAGTGCCACACACACATACTGCTCACGCTGCATGGCCACATCCTCCAAACACCAGCAGGCACAAACTACATACACACAGCCATGCAAGTGTGTGCAGCCATACACACCACACACGGGGAGAAGCCCAGAAAGAGACAGAGGAGCAGGAAGCTGCACATGGACAAGGGCCACAAGGGAGGGACAGAGAGATGCCAGAGACCCACGGGGACAAAGGACAGGGAAGACTGCACAGGTGCATCCGACAGAGCAGGTACTCGGACAGACCGACCGACAGACAGACAGGGAGACAGGAGGGAGGACAGGGAGCCTGGGCCACAAGCTCTCTGAGGATGGAGAGCTCTAGGAGGGTGAGGGCTTCCAGGGCAGGGAGGCTGGAAGTGATGGCCCCTGGCCTTCCAAGCAGGGGACAGCCGTGCTTTCTAAGGGGGTGGCCTGGGGTGTATTGTGTGACAGACGTAAGGGTCTGTGCATAGGAAGGGGCTGTGGGGGCTCGGAAGAGGAGTACACAGCTGGGGGTCCAGATGAAGGATACACCAAACCCGGGATTCATCGGGCAATTGACACTGGAAAGGCCACAGAGGCCCTGCTGGAGAGACTTTCATGGAGCTGGGTGCTCCCAGACCCTGGGCCAGGACAGAAGCCCCCAGATCTAGGACCCGGGCAGCCCTGGAGTAACTGTGACACAGCAGGCAGAGCCAGCTCTCTCTCTGCCTGGGTCAGGAGACTGGAGTTCAAGTCCAGCCCTGGCATGTATGAGCTGTGTGACCTCAGGCAAATCCCTGGATCACTCTGAGCTCCAGGTCTTCATCCATAGAAGTGTAAAAAATATCTGGCGCCTCAGTATCCAAGCTGCTGCACAACTCAGGCCATCCAGCATGCGCTGGCAGGGAAGGGACTCCTGTGGAAGGGGTTGCTCGGGGCCTGAGCCCCTCCTCCACAGGGGAGTAGATGGCGCTTCCTCTTTGCCTTCTACCTCTCTGCCTATGCACTCCCTGCCTTGGCTTCGCTCACATGGAGCCCAGGGGCTCTACCACTGAGCTGCCCCCAGGCCAGTTTTGCCTCTCTGACATCCCTCTCCTCCCCACTCCATTTTGCTTTCCTGGTCTGGCCAGTGTCATGCACCCTGACCTTCCTAGGGACCTGCCAGCTGTCCCCCTAAACCCACCCAGGCCCCCATGCAGGCCTCTGTTTGGTAGCAGGAGAGGTCTGCAAACTAAGCTAGGTATGCTTTCATTACCCTCATGACAAAGAACGCAACGCAACCTTCAAGACAGGCCCCGAACGTTCAGTTGTTGCTGACCTCGCCAGCCTCACCTTGGCCATATGTCCCCTCAGGGCTCCAAAACTTAGTTCTGACACAAAGCCATGCTCCTGTCCCAGGACCTTTGCACATACTGTTCCCTTTACCTATGAAGGAAACCCATCCTCCTCTTCACCTACTCAATTCTTTCTCGACCTTTGGACACCCAACCCAGGGTGGTCTGTGTCCCTACGGCGCCCTATGGCATCCCTGACTTTTCCTTCATGGACTAAGTACAGCTTCAGCTTACACATGTGTCCCCCTTGCATTTACACCTGCAATCATTTGATTAACAGTTTTCTTTTAGACCAGGGGCCACGATGCTAACACTTGTTTCCGTAAGTAAAGCTGAATCGGGACTAGCCATGCTCATTCCCTTACGCATGGTCTACGGTTGCTTTGGTAGAGCCCACAAGCCCTAAAACAGACTCCATCTGGTCCTTTATGCGAAAAGTGTGCAGAGCCCTCCCGGGGCCCTGGGTTTCTGCAGCCAGGACTCTGCCTGTTTGGTTTCCCTGGGCTGCGACCTGGTCGGTACCTGCACAGAAGAGGTACACATGAGAGATGTGTGTCTTTGATAAGTTGGGATTTTCCTTGTCTCAATCATACGGACCTGAGTTAGTATTACAACAGCAGATCCCATCAGGAGTGGATATGGCCCTTGTGAGATTTCAAAGCCAGTTCTGGCAAGCAGTTCAATGTGACAGCGATGTCCCAGCATAGGCAAGAGTGCAAGGATTTCAGCTTTTGGCTCACAAGGCCCTCACACACCTTTCCATAAGCACAGCACAATGCACATGTGTGGGCTGGAAGCCCTCATGGCAGGGGGTGCAGGCCGCATTCAGAGTTGACTTATGGACGAGCACTGTGAGATGTCCCGTAAGCGGTTTCCAGAAGACCAGTCCAGACAAACTCCAGAGAACTGGCCAACTCACTGGCAATGTCTTTTTTTTTTTTTTTTTTGGTACTGGGGATCGAACTCAGGACCTTGTGCTTGTGAGGCAGGTGGCAGAACCACTGAGCTAAATCCCCAGCCCAACAATGTCTATTTTATCATTAGGGAGATTACTACTTTTGCACTTTTTTCTTTTTCAATTATTTGTTTTTAATCAATAAAACATATTAACGAAACTCAAGACACTGTGTAAGCACTTTATGTACTTCTAGAAGTTACAATGACCCCTGCAAGACAGGTCTCATGATTCTTTCTGCCTTCCCGAGGAGATAAACTGAGGCACAGAGACCACACACCGAGCAGAGGTCAGGCTAGACACTCACAGGTCTGCCTGCTTTCAAGCTTGTGGGGCTGGTGGCCAATGTCAGACTGTATCTTTAATGTGCTTAAAGCTTGCAAGGCAGAAAGAATGCTGCCTGGCTCTGTGGGTGGCCCCTACATCCCTCCCATGTGCTGACAGAATCGCAGTGGAGAATAAGCCGTATTATTAGGAACCCTGAATGTACCACCACACTTTTGTTTTAATTTTGTGTATGTATATGGTTTTTGTTGTTGTTTTGAGACAGGGTATGGCTACATAGCCCAGGCTGGTCTCAAACTCATAGCCATCCTCCTGCTTCTGCCTCCTGAGTGCCGGGATTGTAGGTGTTTGCTACCATGCTTGGCTCTTGTGTTTTGTTTTAAATAAATTTTTTAAATGAATGAATGAACACATGGAATGGGCTATAAGGGTCAAACTGACCCTGACAGCTCTGCAACTTTCCAGCCTTGTGACCCTAGGATATCTCTTGTGCTTCTTTGGGGCTCAGTTTCCTCATCTGGCCAGGGGGGACAATCCCAGAGTGATGCCCAGGGCTCACTGTGTCACTGAACAGAGGACTCACCCTTTGCATTAGCACAGGGCCCCTTGCTGGCCCTGCAGTGGCCCTGAGGGCTGGGCGACTCCTCCAAAGAGGCTCTTGCACACATAGACCAATGGAGACACGAGCGTGGCCGAGGCTCCAGTTCAGACTCGAATTCCACTCCCCACCTTCCGGTGGTGCCCGTGGAGCCCGGCAGACACTTACCAGCAGACTTGGGAGTGAACTTGTCTCGGTTCGCAGCACACACAGCCAGCAGTCTGTAGCCGAGGTCCAGGTCAAAGCCTTGCTGGGCTGCCACCCGACTGACCACCTGCCACAGGGGAAAGCCACAGTGAGTCGCTATGTGCAAGAACCCTCAGTGCCCAGAGGCCAGCGAGCCTGGGTCACAGGTGAAGTAAGTGAGCGGGGCAGGCGACGGCAGGTCATCTTTAGGACAGGCCAAGCCAGTGAGCCATGCACCTCCCAAGTCCTGGGCTCCAGGAATTCTTCTTGCCCTCCTCCCCCTCCTGAGTTCCCACAGGTATTGTGGGTGCTTGCTACCCCTGGCTACTTGTAACTCCTCAGCACCTTGTGGGGGACTTTTAGAAATAAAGGCTCTGGCCGGGCGTGGTTGCACACTCTTGTACTCTCAGGACTTAGGAGTCTGAGGCAGGAGCATCAGTGCAAGTTCAAGGCCAGCCTGGGCTACTTGGCAAATTCAAGGCCAGACTGAACTGCAGGCTCCGGCCCCTCCCCACTGTCCCGGTCATCTGTACCCCATGGGTCACACAGGAACTTTGGGACAGAGCCTCCCAAGGATTGCTAAGGAGTCCCTGGTGGGGTTTGGCTCCTGATGCTGCTCTGTGCTTGACTCCATGCCTTAGAAATGCGGGACTCTGGTGCTCAGCCTGTGTCTGTCCCCAGCCGGGGTCTGGGAGTGGCACACACAGTACTCCTGTGTCCTTGTCCCCAGCAGTCTCTCCAGGGAGGGCTGGCAGGCCCTGAGGGGGTTGTGGTGTGGAGCTGAAGTGCCCTGGGAGCCCACGTGGCTCTGGAGGCCCCTGAATGTCTGGCTTCACTCTGTCCTTGCCCGTTCCCAGGTGTCCCATGACTGCCAGGTCTGCTCCCTCTCCAACCCCCTTCCTCATTAACAGCAGCCAAATTAGGTTTCCTTATTAAGAAGAAAGGACCTTGGAAAGCAGAGGCACTGTGCAAAGCAGTTGGGCCAGCCATGGCTGAATGGGAAAGGAGCCCTTTACATGTGGCGGCTGATGCTTCTGAGACGCAGAGGATGCTGTCAGCAGGACCCAGGGCCACCTGCTGCAGAGGTGCTTGCGGGGGCCTCGAGGGGCTCCAGCGGCTGCAAGCTTTGGCCTGGGCCTGGGGCCCTTCAGAATGGCTCTCCACTCTGCTTCTGGTTTCAGGGGTCTATGATCGGGGTGCTAAGGCTTGGGAAGACCCAGCCTGCAGGGCCCCTTGGAGCAGAGCCCTGGGCCCTTCTCCTAGGGATGCCCTGTGCAGGGCGATGACTCTCTCCGCCAGGCTGGGTGGAGAGGGCCGCTGTCACATTACCCTGTTTGCTCAGCTTCCCTGCTGCAACCAGAAGCCCTGACCTAGCATGCTTCCCTGTCTCTTTCCCACAGGCTCCCTCTGTCCCTCTGTGTGCTACCCCATGTCTCTGGGCCACCACGAGTGGAGGTGTCTGTGCCATCTGCCTCCCAAGAAAGACCAAGGTTCCTAACTTGCTGGCCTGTGTGGTATTTCAAGTCTGCAGGCAGCTACCATCTGCAGTTGGGGAGGATGGGGGCCAGGGCTGCTTTCAGCTCAGACACTGCCTCTGGAGCCCAAAGGCGGCCTCGGGATGGACAAGGGGGACAGAGCCACACGGCAGTGTTGGGACAGGTGCAGCACGTACAGGAAGTCTGGCTGCAGTCTCTGCTCTCTCCGGAACAGGACCTCCTGACCGGCCCACAGAGGGTTAAGGCCACAGCGCCCAACCTCCGGGAGGACCTGGGGGCCTGGGTCAGGGCAGGAAGGCAAAGGTCCTGTGTTTGGCCAATTCTGGCTCATCCTGTTGCTCTGGTTTTAAAAATAATCCCGGCTGGGTTGAGCAAGAGGGGCCTGGTGCTGTGCGCAGGCTGCATGGGGTGACAGCCAGGACACTACACACATCTGCTTGTGGCCAGGTCCCTTGGGCCCTGGCATTCAGAGAGAACAGGAGTCCACTCAAAGTAACACAGCACCGGGGTGGTCCCAGAGTGTTTCATCCGCTACCATTTCCTGTCTCCGGTCCGAGGACCCCAGGAAAGCCCTTCGAGGTGGGCTGTGACCAGCAGCTGGGGTCAGAGAGGCTGCTCTCACTATGGTGGCAGGAGAGGGTGCCCACGGCATGAAGACCCCTCCCTGAGCACCCAGACTTGGCAGGAGTGTGGGCACCGACAGGTCAGGGGTCCAGCCCTTGTGCGCCAGGGGGAAACTGCAGTCAAGGCACAAGAGAGCGCACTTGCTCGGGGTCCTGTGGCAGGCAAGTCACATTCATCCCCCGCAGGGAGTATCCCCCAGAAAAGTGGTGAACCTCTGGCCAGGGATCCGGCTGGGGCAGGGAGCTGCAGAAAAGGCTTCTGCTCTCAGCAGGGGCAGGGAGGGAAATCAAGGCACACTAGGTCTATGCTCCCATCTTGCTCCACCCCATGCTGTGCAACCCCTGGGAAGTTACTTAACCTCTCTGAGCCTCAGATTTCTCTTCTCTTCTCTTTTTCTTCTCTAAAGAGGCCAGGTTGCCACCCATCTCTGCAGAGGTGTAATAGTGGGCTGACTGTTCTTGGGCCCCAGTTCTGTCTACACTGCTACCTAGGCCCCTCAGGGCACAGCCTGTGTTTCCCACCTTGCTACCTCTCCCAGCTGGCGGGTGCAGTTAGGGTGCATGTGGGGACAGGTACTTGTGACTGCTGTGAAGTCAGGCATGAGGCTGGGGTCTGCTGCTGCCACTTGCCGGCTATTCTACCTCACTTCACCTTTCTGGGCCTCAGTTTGCTCTTCTGTGAAATGGGCACAGAATGTCTTCCTCCCCAGTGTGACTGGCCAGGACCCCGCACGTCTGCTGGGCTCTGGGCCTCCTTCCTGTTCTCTAGGTGAGGCCAGGAACAGGTCTCGATGGGCAGGACACCCGGAGCAGTGGCTCAGCCCTGCTGCTGGAGGAGGGAGGGTGGCTGGCCGGACTGCAGTGCCTCTCACTTGAATGTGCCTCAGCTGCTTTGGCGTCCGTGGCTAAAACGTGTCCATTTGCTGCCCACAGCTAAGTGCTTTTGAATTTCTACCCTCAGCGTAAGCCAGGACCAGTGGAACTGGAGTGCACTCCAGAGGTCACCCAGGGACCTCGGCAATGTGGGCACCAGCGGGGAGGGAGCTGGTTCGGGGCAGGGTAACCTTGCTAGGGGGCAGGGAGGTGACGCATTCCCTGTCCGCCACCCTCCCTGGGTGCAGCAGGTGAGTGGACCATGTGGTGCATCTTTGTCTGAGGTGTCCTCCGGGCAGCCCTCATCACCCTCCACCCCCCCTCCAAGGGTGAGCCCCCCCACAGCTTCGGTGCCCAAACAGATCCCATCACCTCACCCGCTGCTTACCGCCCTGCGGCTCACACCCAGGCTCTCATGGCTGGACCCAAAGGCAAGTGAACTCCTTTCTGCTTCCTTCTTCCTCTTCCTGCAGGCCCCTCCCCTGTTTCTTAACCAGCTCTGTCCTCAGGGCCTTTGCACATGCAGTTCCTTCTGCCTGAAGCACCCTCCTCTACTCCTCCCAAGGAGGTCAGCTCAGGACTATGTTCCTGATCTAGTGTGGCCTATTTACTTCTCCCCACTGCAAGGGAAGCTCCTGAGGGCTGGAATGTTTGTAGAATGAATGGATGAGCCATGGGGTAAGGCAGGGCCTGTTACTGTTCATCCAGGCTGGCCAGGGTGCCTTTCCTGTTGAGTCCCGTGTTCTAAGCAGCAGCAGGCTCAAGGCGGTGTGCTGGGGGACAGTGGTGGCCTGACTGGCCACATGTGCTCGGTCCCTGCCTCCTCCTCCCCTGCAGTGGCTGGCAGGGGGCTGGGAGCAAGGAACCTTGGATAACATCTGGCCCTGTCCACGGGGCTTAGGCTGAACCCGGATCCCCACAAAGAGGAGTAGGGCAGTTGGGGAGGGGAGGGGCTCCCGAGGGCTGGAGGATGGGGAAGACTGAACCATGCAGGCGGCCACCTGATTTGGCCCGGTGACCCAGAGGGCAGCAGATGGTGTGGGCTTCTGTACACGGGGACATCCTGACAGAGACTGGGCCGAAGCCCTGTCTGGCATCCCAGTGGCCAAGAGCATCCCCCTTGGAGGCGGATAGCCTCAGCTGAAACCCAGGCCACTTGCAAGGCTGCGGCCCAGGGTCAGGTAGAGCCTCAGCTCAGCGCTCTCTATAAAGTGGGGAAGGGCACAGGTCGACCTTACACTGGGCCCAATGAGGTGCCATATCCAGGGCCAGCTTAGTCTCGCCTGGGACAGGGGTGCTTTGTCCCGATGGCCCGAGGAGCTGTCACCATGGCTTCTCTCCCAAGCTGGGCCTCTGTCTGCCTCCTGTCGGGAGCTTTTCAGGAAATACGGTGCCCTTGGACACTGCTCCTGCCTGGCCAGGCCTCCTTCCAGGCTCTTCTTCTCTGAGCCCTAGGATGGGCAGACTTCCAGCAAGAGGCTCCCGAAAGGCTGCCCTCGCTGGCCACCATGGTGCCCTCTCGCTCAGGAATGCAGGCCATACGGCAGGGGACACGCACAAGCTGTGAGCAACTTCCACAGGGTTCTCTAAAGCCTGGCAAGTGGTGCCATGGGCTCCAGCCTCTGCCCAGCGTGTATCCAGAGTCTCACCCACTGCTCTGTGCTCCTGGATGGCAGCCCTTTGCACACACTGTCCAAAGCAGCTTGGTGCAATCAGCATGTGTATATGGGGCTCAGGCAGATGAGGGGCGCCCCTCTCCCCACCCCCTTCATTTTGTATGTGATTTTCTCGGTCATCTCTTTCCACATCAGCTGCTCCGCCTACAAGGACATCAGGCTTGAGCAGGTCTTTCTCACAGCTGGCTTCCTGGGACTCATTTGGCAGAGGGGATCGCATGTGATAAATGAGGATTGGTCAATGTTTATTTGGCTAGATGGGTGGATGTAACAGGGCTCAATAAATGCTTCCATGAGTGGATGGATGACAATAAAGAGGGCTCAATAAATGTTTAGTAAGTGGATGAATGAATGACTTGATAAAGAATGACCAGAAACCCTTCACGGCTCTTGCTGCTTTGCTCAGGATGGAACCCTGGGCCCCAAAGTGGGTGCTGTGTCTGTCTCACCCAGTGTGGGGGACTCTCATTACTCACGGGGCATGGCTGGGGTTGTCACTCACCGTGAGGCAGCCCATCAGGCTCTGCTCGAAGGGCCGCTGGAATGCGCGCGGGTCCCCACACCAGTCCAGCAGCTCCGTGGCGGCATTGTGGAAGTTGGCGGGATTCTGTAAATGCTGTGGGAGGGAGAAGAGGCAGCTTGAGGTTCCCAGCGGGGCCTGCAAGGGGCAGCACTCAGCAGTCTGGGGTGGGAGACTCACAGAGGGCAACTGGGATCTGTTGGCTTCTCAGTTCCCTCCCTTCCCCGCAGCAGGGGAGGTCAGCAGCCCTATTGCAAAGCAAAGGGCAGTGGTAGAAGACACCCCACTGTTCTCGGGACCAGAAGTGGCCCTGCAGAGAAACACCCAGCCTGAGCCTGGCCTCTCAGGGCTCTGGCTTCAGAGCAAGCTCAGGGTGGAGACTGGGAGAGGCCATGCCCTGCTGGGAAGGGGATCAGGGACATGGAGCTCTGGGAATCCCATCAGGCTGTGGCTTTGTGCCCCCAGGTTCCTGGGTCCTGTCTGCCTCATATGGAGGGTCACTGGCATTGCAGTGTGGGGTCCCTTCCCAGATGAGGTGTCTGAATTTTAATGCATGGGCCTTCCAGCTTAATTTCAGGCCCAGGGAGGGGAGGTGGCTCTGAGCGCCCTTTCCTTGGGTGACACTTAGCCATATCTTCCCAGGGCCTCTGAGCTGGGTAGTGAGACCAGCAGAGGTAGAAGGCCTTCCCAGGGCCACAGGGCACAGTAGAGCTACCCCTGGGATTTGGGGGTGGGACTTCTGCCCAGGAGTGTGTGTGGCTGACTGTGTCCTCTGGGGGCCCTACAGGGTGTCCACAAGGACAGAATGTGAGACAGTGACCCAACTGCAGAGTGGTGGCAGATTCTGGGTCAACATAGCTGACGAGCCTGGAGCCAAGGCAGGTCCCCAGGGCGGAGGAGGGTGGTAGGAGCCCCTGAGGGGCAGGGCCCGGGGTCCTGTCTGCCACTCCCTCCTACTAGTGCTGAGCTAGTGCTGCCCCTCACCTCTGCCGGCTTCGGTTGCCCCATCTGTTAAATGGAGACAACCAACCACAGCGTGGCAGAGGGAATTTTTGTTTTCTGCACTTTGGGTCCATGACTGCTGCTATAGTGTGGTTTGTGCAAGGCAAGGTTTAAAATCAAGAGAGAAGAAAGTGCTATGCATGAGTCTCCTCCCTCAATGCAGAAAAAGAAGAGAGAGAAATGAAGGCAAGAAGGAGGGTGGGCAAGCAGCAGCAAAGCCCCCCTCACGAGGCTGGTGGGGCATGGCTCAAGCACTATGGGGCACGTGGGTGCTCCCACATGGGTGGCTCTGTCTCCCCACATCCTGGGTTCCCCGGAACACAGCTGCTCCGCCACCTGCAGCCCTGCTGTCTGCAGAGGCGGTGCTTGCTCCCTGCCATCAACTCCAGCAAGACAGAGGGGTTCATGGCTTCTGGCTCCCTGCTAGAATGTGCCCCTCCGGTGGTACCTGGCTCGCTGCTGCCCACTAGCTCCCCTGCTAACCGAGTTGTTCCATTTATTTATGTGATGTCACAGCCAATTAGCAGGGTCAGCAGCCACTGCATGCTGTGCTCTCAGAGCTGTTTGCTCGGTGGCAGCCATAGTAGTACCCTCTTCGCAGGTAGTCTCAGCACCATTGTTGTTTTGGTGCTGGAGGACCCAGCCTTCTGACTGATTGATTGATAGTTTTTTGAGACAGGCTCTCACTCTGTAGTCCAGGATGGCTTCGAACTCATGGTGATCCTCCTGCCTCAGCCTCCCAAGTGCTAGGATTAGAGGTTCACACCACATGCCTGGCCTCCGTGTCTTGCCAGCCTGAGATCCTTGTCCCTGCCCTGCCAGCTTCCTCAGGGAATCTCACAGGTGGAGCAAACGTCTGGCACACCCTGAGCAGGCTGTGGGCAGCGGCTCTGTGGCCTCGCCTGACTCCCTCCCCTCTCTGGGCCCTCATCATTCATTTCACCCGCAAGGTGACTGAAGTGCACAGAGAGACCAAGTGTAGAACACACCAGGGCGCATGTTGGACCAGAGGTAGAGGGCCTGGCTGCGGCTGCTGATGGCTGATGCCCTGGCCCACCAGAAAGCCTGCCCATCTTCGTGAGTCCTCAGGGGACATGGCTACATCCCACGGCTGCTGAGTCTGTGGGTGGGAGCAGGGCACACACAGCCAGGGAAGGGCTGGCTGCCCTAGAAGCAATGGATTCATCACACATAGCTGCCCACAAATCCATCTGTGAATCAAATGGTCCGTCTATCCATGCATCCATCTGTCCATCCATCCATTAAACATTGATCAATCCATCATCCATCCACCTACTCGTCCACCCAATCATTCATCCATTTGCTACTTTATCTCTTTCTCATCCACTCATTCATTCACCTACCGGTCTATCCATTCATCCATGAGTCACGTCACCTACCACCCACCCTTCCACTCATTCATCCATTTATCCACTCATCATTTCTATCTGCCCACCTACCTAACTGCCATCCAGATGTCCATCCATCCCTCACCCATCCATTCCCATGCGTCTCCATCTAAGGGGCCCCCTTGCCCCACACTCTTTCCAGATACTTGGGCCCCTCCCTGCGCTGGGCACCAGGCCAGACTCTGCAGACTCAGAGTACATGTATGACCAGAGGGAGGAGCCAGAGGAGAGGTGGAGGGCACAGGGAGTCCTGGAGGGCTCAGCAGGCATCTGAGAAGCTGCTCGTGCTCACACATGAACACAGGGCTCCGTGTGCGTGCAAGGCGGGCAGCTGGGGCTCCAGCACTCCCCCCACCACCCAGCCATTAGGATGCCCATTTTACAGGTCAAGCAAAGGGGGTGTGACAACTTTTGCTTTTGTTTTTTGGTCCTGGGCCTTTGCACAGAGCTTCATTCTCCAGCCCTTTTTATGTTTTATTTTGAGATAAAGTCTCCCAAAGTCTCTAAGTTGGGCCTCCTTCCATGGGGGGAACCTCAGCTCCACAGGGGATGTCAGGGGGCCCTGTCGCCCTAGCTCTCAGGGGAAGGTGAGGTCCCTGAGCTGAGGAAGTGCAAAGAAGGCCACCCTGCACTGAGATGCTGAGGACAAGTCACCACTGCCATCACCTGGCACGGGCCAGGGGTGGACAGCGTGTGTCACCTACAGTACCTCCCAGCATCCAATCAGGGAGGTCTGTGGGCCCCATTTAACACATAGGGAAATTGAGGCCTGTATGCAGTCTGAGATCTCTCTGTGGGGACACGGGGGCATGAGGACTCGCCCCGGACTCCGCACTTTCTAGACTCTTCTGGCTCTGTGTGCACCGCTCATAGCCACCACTGGGGGCGCCCTGGGAAGGGGCCACCTCCCACCAATCCAGAGTGGGGAACTGGGGAACTCTGTGTGGGCGCGGGGTGAAGCAGGAAGAGGTCCTCCCACACCAACGGCCCAGTGAGGGCTGGTGTGACTTCAGGCTACTTTCTTCCCTCCTGTGTCATTTTCCTTTCCTATAAGATGATTTATTTGCCAGGTGTGGTGGCACATACCTATAATCCCAGCACTCGGAGGCTGAGGCAGGAAGATCACTGTGAATTCAAGACCAGAGTGGGCCACAGAGTTCAAGGCCAGCCTGAACAATGCAGCCATACCTTGTCCCCCAAAATCAGTAATAATAGTAATAATGATGATTTTTTGAAAAAAGCTTTAACTCCCCAGGATCTTTTCTTTTCTTGTAATGTTTATTAGCCAACAGCTGGGGCAGAGGCAGGGTGCTGAGGTCTGGGCAGCGAGGTGACAGTGTTAGGACTTGGCTGCATCCTTATCCCAACCCAGAGCACATCAGCAGAGCTCAGAGAGGGTGTCACACTGACTCACAGTCACACAGCAGGGAAGGGACAAGGCAGCGCTGGACAAAGCCAGGTGCGGATAATTCCAGCAACCCTGCTGGTCCCTGCCAGGGAGCCCAAAACCCTCTCATGTGGGTGCTCGAGCCCACTGTCCCCACCATGGCCTGCCCAGTCCCTTCTGCCCACGCAGGCCCACCTGCTTGATACACTGCAGTCGGTCGTTGGTCTGCTGGATGTGCCTGTCCATAGAATTCATCCTGGCCGTGTCGCTGGGCTCTACCCGAGAGCCATGAACGTTGTCCAGCCTGCACGGAGAGAGGAGGCTCGTCACCAGCTGGGCCTGTCATCCCACCCAGCTTCCCCGAGCCCCAGCCCCACACTGGAAGAGCCAGGGCCCTCTTTGTACCCCAAGGCCTCCTGCTCCTGGAACCCTCCCATGGGGGGCCCAGCTGGGGCACCCTACTCGGCTGAGGGCAGGAGCAGGGACTGCAGTGCAGGAGCACATGGTTTGTGACTCAGTGGGGGCCACCATCACCCCAGATTCCTGGTTCAAGGCTTAGCCCGCTGGATATAGCTGAGTGTGTGTGCGTGCATGCGGATAAGCATGTGACAGCCGTCACTGCACATGGGCCGCCGCGTGTCCCGTCACAGATGCCACATGCCTTCCCCAAGCCCCTCTGGATTTAGAGCCACTCGCCAGTGAGTGGTTCCATTTTTCCCCCTCTGCCAAGAAGGAAAGCAGATAAGGAAGAGTCTCCCCCAGTTCCAGAAAGCCCCACAAGCGCATCCCCAGCCACTCGAGGGAGGCCCGACAGCAGGGACAGGTGGCCCATCAACGCCTACCGCTGCTCAGGGCCTGGGTTCCCGCTGCAGACTGGTGAGTCTGATGGGGATTGGACAGCAGCCCCTCTCTTTCCCATCCTTATCTCCAGCATGTCACCAGATGTCCCCTTTATGGGACACTTTCTGGGTATGGGGCAACACATCCTCTCCTTCACTCTTTGCCCCCACCCTGTGAGGCTGGCACTGTCTCCACACCAGAGGACACTAAGGCCAGCGAGCTGTCTGGTGCCCGTGTCTAGAAGAAGCCTGGGCCCGGTGGGCCACCTCAATTTCTAAGAGCTGCACAGTATTCCAAGGTACAAGAAACCATTTACCCAACTAACACCCAGTGCCAGCTCCCCGCCAAGAGCTATCCTATAGCCCAAGGTCCGCTCAGGGGACACAGGCTCCTGGGGCCAGGTCCCATCCACGTGAGGGCTCCCGGCCAGCCAGCTGTGACAGAACAGGAAGCTGTTCCCACATCACTGGAGGGACCTTGATACTTGCACATCATACCCGTGTGCCCTAACCAGGGAACACACCAGAAGTGGAAAGGCCAGGTCGATTGCACGCTTTTCCTTCTGAGAATGCTTTACCTGGGGCTTTCCGACAAGAGGGGAAAAGAAGAGGTTGTGCCGCATATTTCTCTCTCCCTCTCTCCCCCTGCCGACCCTCCCTAAGGTCACTATGCATATCACACATTTATCTCCCTGAGGTTCGGCTTCCCTGTGTGTCATTTACCTGTCCCAGAGCCAGTCTGTCCATTCGTCCACACCTGCACATCCATCCTCATGTCACAAAATCACTTTGCACCCAGAGGCCCACCGGGCTGAAGGGCACCCTTAAACTAGGCCAGGCCAGGCCAGGCCAGGCGTGGTGCTGCCTGTAATCTTGAAATCCCGCCACTTTGGGAGGCCAAGGTAGGAGGATTTCTCAGCCTGGGAAATGCAGTAACTTGGTGAGATTCTGTCTCGAATTATTATTATTATTTTTTTTGGGGGGGGGTAGGGATGGAACTTAGGACCTTGCGCTTGCGAGGCAGGTGGCAGATCCACTGAGCTAAATCCCTGGCCCCCCAGTTTTTTTAAAAAAGGGGCTGGAGTGTAAGTTACCTACAAAGGGCCGAGGTTCAATCTCCAGGACAGCTAAGAATAAAACAAAACAAACAATAGACCTGAGGCCAGTTTGGCCTTGGAGCCTGAAGGGAAACCCTGGGTAGGGTGGAAGGGGGGAGGCCTCAGCTCAGTCCCCAGGCCACAGCCAGAGGACAAAGGGCCAGTGGGGCCAGGCAGCCAGCAGGGGGCACTGCTGACAAACCTAAGAGTCCAGAGGGCCAGACGCCGGCACTGTGCCTCAATCGCAGGAGCACCCAGGTGTCCTCAGCCGGGGGAGTTTTTCCCAGGGTTCCCTTTGTAGGACAGGATGGCCTGAGGGGAGGATTATGGGGTCCCCAAAAGCTCTACCTATGCAGGAACATTATCCCTGGAGTCTGAGGGTGCTCACCCACCAGAGGGGACCCAAGCAGGCCCCCGGTACCCAGACCTACTTGGCCAGTGAAGGCTCAGGGCTGTTGTTTCTGCCTGGTCTGGCGGCCCAGCCTCCAGAGGAGACAAACAGCAGAGCTGGGCGTGGTGGTGTGTGGTTTATAATCCCAGCACTGAGGAGGCTGAGACAGGAGGATTCCAAGTTAAAAGCCAGCCTGGACTACACAGTGAGTTCAAGGCCAGCCTGGAATGCACAGTGAGACCTTGCCTTTGAAAAAAGAGAGAGAGGGGGAGAGAGGGAGAGAGAGAGAGAAAACAGAGTAATGCAGGGACAGAACTGTCCAGTTCCCATCCGTGTCTGCTCCCAGGCCAAGGCTGAACTGAATTGGCTTCTGGGTTCAAGGATTCCCCGGATGCCACTGGCCAAAGGTGACCCAGGTGAGATCACATGGCACATCTGGGCATGCTCCAGACCCCGGCCTCTCTTTTCCAGCCAGGCTCCATCCTGCAGGAATCATGACAGGAGGGCCAGGCTTGGGACGTCTGAGATCAGGGGACAGGGGGTGGCAGCTGGAGAGACAGCACAGGTCACGACAACCGTGTCCTGTGGGTCTTACTGTACACGAGAACACATGTCACAGAATAAGGAGGCCACATGGGCAAGATGACACTGCTGAGCCATCAAGAGGAGTGGCCGGAAATGGAGCCAACAGCACCAGGAACGCATGGGCCGGGGGTGTGGCCCCCACCAAAAACGGGACGAGACCTTAGAAGCTGGTGTCTCTGAAGTAAGGACAGGCGAGATGGAGCTTGTGAGGGGCGGACTGAGACCTGCATTTGTTTCCACCTGCTGGGATCTGGCATCAGGCCAGACCCTGGACATGGGGCCAGAGAAGTGAGTCAACTGGTCCAGGGTCACACAGCCTTTAAGAAGCTGCTGGGTTAAGTTTAACCCCTCTGCCTTTCTATCCATTAAGCCGTTGTTCTTTCTACTCCAACTGGTGGCCGGATCCACCTGGCCACCCCCACCTCAAGCTGTGACTGGGCCCCAAAAGATGTCCTCTTCATTCCACCCACCCTGTCCAAAGCCAGTTCTGCTTCCAAGGCCCTCTGCCTGAGCTACCTGTGTGCTGGCCTGGGCTGGGAGGCATCAGCACCTGGCAGCCAGCAGAGGTCGCCCTTGGCTGTGGGAGCGCTGTCTGGCCAAAGCCTGGCCTTTAAACCTCTCAGATCCTCCTCACAGATCCGTGGTGGCTGCAGCTCCCGCACCCAGGGAGGCTTGGGCTCCCTCCTAGCAGCTCACTGTCCTGCAACCACGGCCTCAGCCCGCTGGGTGCTGCTTAGCTGCTCCTAGGTGGGTGCCATCAGGTGACCCAGCCTGGCTTGGGGACCTGCTGCCTCTTCTGTCTGAGCAGAGCCCTGGGCTGTACCCTCCTGCTGTGTGAACAGGGTGACACCAGGCCTCCTTCAGTTTCCCCATCTCTACAGGGTTAGGCTAGTCGGCCTTTGGCTGCTCATCAGACTCCACATCTGAGGCGTCCTGTGGCTCTTGGGAAAACTCCTTGACAGGAGAAGACATTTGGCTTCCAAACTGTCCCAGCCAGGCAGGTCCCAGGAACCCCACAGACACTCCCCCGCTTGATGCACTGCACTTTGCTGTGTGCCTTACACTTGCCCGGGCTTGATGTATGGAAGCTTCTGGATGGTAATGGGGGTTTTGGCTGAGTCTTCCTGACTCCCAGGGTGGCGGAGGGGGGCCATGTGCACTTCTCACCACCTAGCAAAGCGCAGGGAGTTAGTGCTGCCTGGCAGGAAAGCTGCAGGGGCTAGGGACCAAGCTCTCCTACATCCTCCCTGGCAGAGGGAGAATAGAGAGGGTGCTGAGGGCCCCTGGCTGTTCAAAGTAGGGCTCCTGGCTGCCAAGATAGACGGAAGCAAAGGACCTGGTGTGGCTCCGCCCTGGACAAGGGTCAGGGTGCTCTCACTGCCCCAAGGCGTGAAGAGTCCTGCAAGGAGCCCCTGAGGGTAGCAGGCTGGCTGGACAGGCCACTGTGTGAGTACAAGGGTTTTCTTTCCCACATTTCAGGCCCAACTAGTTCATCAGCACGCTGGACATGCATGCATCCGGGAGAGGCATTTGCACACAGTGCATGTGTGTGGAACACTGGCCTACGTGCACCTGTGCACACTTCTGAGCAGGTACGTGCATATGCAGGCTGCTGGCCCAGATGCACTCAAGCACACACATTTCAAGACAGTTTGCACAGGCAAGTGGCGGGTCCCCGGGGAGCCGTGTGAGCAACGGTGTGCAGAAATGATTCAATCACCATGCACATCTGCAGCTCAGGTCCCCTGGGGTGAGTTGTGCCAGCAGCGGCAGAGCTCTACCTACAATGGTGAGCAGAGGCTGCACTCCCAGTCATGGCCAAGGCTGGTGATCTGGGCACTGCCTTCTGCTCGTCGGCAGAAGAGCCTGGGATCCTGGATCCAGGAGACCCATACTGGCCAGCCCTCCATCAGCCTCAGATGTGGAGAGGGACACACATCTTGGGCTCCAGGACTTGCTACTCTGCATGAGCCAGCACCCTTGTGGCCCTCCTTGGCCTGCACTCACCTTCCACCATGCCTGGGTGCATCCCATGTAATCCATGGGTGCATCCTGTGTCGTCCACTCAGGCTGTTCACTGCCTGACAGGCTGAGCTCTGAAAGTCAAGGTCATGCTGCCATGTCAGCTCAAAGAATGCAGCCTTGCCCATCCACCAAGACCTGGCTCAGATGCCAACCTCAGCACAGTTATTCACTTCTATCCCTGTCCCCTGGGTGTCCCTGTCCCCCACTCCATCCTGGTGGTGCCAGATCAGCGGTGTCTTTGCCTCAGTCTCCCCAGCAGCTGGAATGCCTCCCAGTCGAGCCTCCCCAGGGCCCCAGCTGGCAGCCCAGCACCCAGCAGGCACTCATGCCACACAATAAACAGCTGGGTGGATGCTTGGCCATTGCT